CAACATCGAGGACCAGGAAATTGACAGCTACTTGGCAAAGCACTTCAGTCCGCAAACAAAGCTATTCTCTCTCTGACCTGATCCCCAACCCCGCTCACTCAAGCAGTCTTGCACTCGAAAAGTTCAGTGATCCCAGCGATGCTGGTCTTTGCTTGCTATCGTTTTTGAAAAGGGTTAGCAAGGCGTGCATGCACTTGATGTTTCATGATGGGAAGTGTGTACATACATCTGGTATATAGTATCAACATTGTGTTTCGATGTTTTGTCTGCCATGTTGGATGTTAACCTCCAAGACATGCTCTGGATCATGGCTTTCTGGGAATCTTGGACCAACTCTCGGCATTTTCGAGCGGCTGCTGTGCTGGGCACTGTTTCTCGTGGTGTCTTGAGACAAACAATTGCCTTTCCAGGCACTCTACAACTCAATGTTCATCCTATGGATCCCAAGTGTCCACACCACCAAACAGGCTGGGCGGAGGTGTCCCCCGCTGCGCCGTCGGCCGCCTGGTGTCCACAGCAGCCGCGATATGCGGTCGCCCCAATGACCAAGTCACACCAAGTTGTTGGTTGTGTCGGTTGATTGACTGCGTTCAACAGTATTAGACGCTACTAGGAACAAAGGGCATCGCTACTAGGAGCAAGGACGCTACTAGGGGCTCCTGGCATCGCTACTAGGAGCATTCTTACTACTAGTAACAAGAAGCTACTAGGAGGAACAACATCAAATCCACCGCCAAGGCCTCTGGCGATGGAAGGGTCTGATTGCCCACCCAGCTTTTCGGTGGATGAATAGTTCTAGGTTTCGGTGGATGGTTGAAAGTAATCTCACTTTAGGTTTACCATGGCTTACCAATAACAAACATGTTGAAGAATGCTCTTCCCAGAAACAGGGTTCGAACAATCGTTTGTTTTGACTCTTGTGGGTCTGCAGAGTTTTGGCAATGTGCAAAGCAATTACACGTGATTAAAGCCGTGTGTCGTATAATGTTCTTACGCTCCTACTTACGCTCGGTCTACTTATGCGAACACAATGTGAGCTTATGCGCAAAGGAAGGCCCCTGAAGACCTTACACACATCATATGCATATATATATATATATATATATTTCGTATATTTTCAGCCCAGCAGATTACCCTTCTCAGGTGTTTGCGGATGCCCAAGTTCCATATTGTGACAGGTCATTACTTAGGCCATCGCTCTTAGGTTAGAGACCATCGCTATTAGGCTCCACATTATGGGCGGTTGGAGGCCATTTGCGATGGTCTTACTCGGCCATGTCGACCGCCCTCATCCACTCTCCTCAACCCACCTTGGGCGCCATGAAGCCTAAGATCTTGGTACTCACCTCACGTCGGGGCCTTCGGTCGATTCGGTCGGGCCATGGTGACCACTTGGTCGACTGGTCACGGGCCTGAACATGCCTGAACTACTCATAAAACGTATCCCAAAAAAAAACATTAAGTGCCAAAATGTGCCAAGTAGTAAGGTGCCTTGCTACTAGTAGCTATTTGCTACTAGTAGCAATGCCAGGAGCTACTAGTAGCTTCTTGTTACTAGTGCCAAAATGTGCTGCACAGTCACGTCCAAAGAGTCCAAAGAATCGAAAATGACTCATGGAGTCAAATGCATCTCAAATCGCCTGAGGAGTTCCTCCTCCAGGACTTTCCTCTTAGGGGTCCTAAGAACCGAAAAATACCCAAGCGATGCGCACGACGGGTCTGAGGGTTTGGCCAAGACCCCCAACAGGTTCTTTAGCGTCTCCGTGGCCACTTCCTGAGCGTCGAAACGGAACGAAAACATGTTTGAGATTCTTTAAGAACATATTGGATTGAATGGTTAAGTTATATAATTACATCCTTTAATATGACATAATATATGCGCTAACTTTGTAATTACATGCTATGTATCTTGACTTTGCAACTCTGCCAGTTTTCCGCTCACATGCCGCGACGCGTCTGAACCCAGCCTCAAGCTCACAATCCTGGTCATCGGAGCCACGCTTGATGAATTGCAGCATCAGCCGAAGCACCATGAGCCTCGGTCGATGTCCATAGTGCCATAGTGAGGGAAACTTCATTCTAGAAACATGGACCGACACGCCTCAAGTAGATGGCACTGAACTAGTTCCAACAGCCAACAGCAAATGAAGATTCATGTCTGTGTGGTCATCACCCTACAAAATGGGGGGTGATTATGCAAGCCCTCACATCTGGACATGGGATTGGACTGGTCAGTGTCCAAGACCGTCCAAGACCCTTTTCACCAATTCGTGGTCCTCTGTCAAAAACTTATCCATAGAGGACCAATTCCGCACAGAGTTTGCTCCAGCTTTGTGATGTGACCCCTTTTTTGAGTGTTACCAGGCTTGTATCTGTTTGGGAAGCAACGTCACACAAGCTCATCTTCTGCACAAACTGATATAGTCTGTCTATGTCTCAGCCATCCGCCAAAGTTGTCCGAAGCAGTCGTGCCTGGAGCGAAAAATCATTGCGCAACTGAAAGGAGCCAAGTTTAAACACATCGATCTCCAAGTGTTTGGTGGGGCTCTACTTCTACCATCGTCTACCCTACCAGGCCCTACCAACCTGTGATGTTTGCCCTTGTCCGCCGTGGACTGCGTTCTGTTCTTTTCTCGCCACGGAGGCTTTAGGGAGTCAACTTCTACCTCTTCCTTGGTAGAAACACTGCCCAGTTTCAGCAAGCACTTGGGAGGAAGTGAGCTGGTTGCCAAAGTGGTTGCCAATTAAAGGCCGGCACAGGTCCGGTGGTGAGAGTGTCATACTTTTCCTCACAATTTTGGGGGTCCGAGAGTCACGCTGCGAACGATTTCAGTCATCATCAGCACAATAATATATAAACCATTACAAACCTGCAGAAATGAAACGACCAACCGTTTCCATTGACCAAAGGCATTGAGCTTCACAATCCAACTCTATGTTCCACACCTCTGCAAGGTCTGCAAATTCTGCAGAAAGAACTTCGACACCAAGGACACCGCTTCACGGACCACCTGCAGAGCGGCTGCCACGCACAACCAAGCGTACCATCAAGAGTCTCTGTTGATATATACAACTTGAATCAACTATAATCAACTTCATATGGTCTTACGTTCTCTTGGTTTTGATGTTTTTGTTTGATACAGTAATTACACCCGAATCGGGTCATACCAGATCGTTCTCCAAGATTCACGAGATGGGTCCAATTCAGAGTCTTTCCCGCGCGGACTTCCCGACACCGTGCGCAGCCTTCAAAGGTGTCTGTGATGTGATTGGTCCGGTCAGGACTGACACCTCGGACGGAGAAGGACATCAATCTGCCAAAGCATCGCAGAAAGAGATCTCAAGGACCCCGAATCCACCCTTCATTCATGGGCCGGGGGTCGAGCTAAGGGACATGGGCGGAGACCTTTCTGGAGTGGAGAAGTCATTTTCTGGAACGGCAAGGCCTTCGTCTGTTGCCTTCTTCTGCGGAGCGTTTCCTTCGGTCTTCAGAGGAAGCGCCAATGGTGACACGAGAAATCGAAGCTGAAGCCCACGGGAGCCAATCTGGAGATCCAAAAGTTGTCGAAGGTCACCCCGACATGCTACCTCCCCAACAAGAGTTGCTGGACCTTCATGTGATTGTTCTCAACTGCCAAGTCCAACGCCGTTTTGCCAGGGGGAGTGACTGCGTCTGCCTCCATAGACAGCTGTGCCATGACAGGATAATTGTCAGCCAAATGAAACTCCGAGTTCCAAGGTTCTGTGACCTTGTGTTTGTCAGCCCCAGCCTGGAGTAACAATTGCACAACTTCGATGTGGCCAAACAGAGCTGCTAAATGCAAAGGTGCATTCCCAAAAGAAGCCACCAACTTGTCTATGTTCGCGCCGGATTCCAGCGACCATCGTGCCAGTTCCACATGTCCACTCTTCGCTGCTGCACGCAAGAAATAGGATGCCATACATGGATGTCTGATCCTCTCCCTCTTCGCACCGGCATCGAGCAAAAACTGCACAATCTGCAAGTGGCTTTGCTCAACTGCCACCTCCAAAGCTGTTCTGCCAAGCGGAGTAACCGTGTCTTTGTCAATCCCTGCCTCCAGCAACAGCTGCACCACTTCCAGATGGCCAGCCAGTGCTGCAACGTGCAACGCTGTGTGGCCACTGTAATCGATGATGTTTGGAGTGAGAGGCTGCTGTAGGATCGCTTCCAGATCTTTCTTTCGATTCTCAGAACATGCAGAAAAAAAGTCCTGCTGAGTTTGCTCATCTCCTGCCAGAAAATCCATGATTACAAGCTGAATCTTGGAAGGAGGCACATAAAGGATCTTGTCATGTAATTCGCTGTGATCTTCACTAAACCATCTCTGGCGGAATCTAGAGACACCAATTAGTTTGGCCAGGTGTCTCTTCAACGATTTGACCGACTTGTCCCCCTCGACCTCATCTCCATTGAAGCTGGCAAGGGGTTCGCCTGACAGCGCCAAAGAAATATGGAACATGACTTTGGTGATGCTGCAGGAGCCAAACAAATGCTTCAGCATCGTCTTCATCACTCACGTTTTTTTTTTCCATGCACCAACAAAAAGAACAACCACCATTTTGGCTGACACCCCACACTTAAAAAGGCGTGCAACAAAAAGTATCTTTGGGACCAAAGCAAAGAGTTCGGCCAATATAAATCAAAATAATCCATGACTTCGCTCTTGCTCAATCTTTAAAAATCACCCAAAGGGCTGCAGGACGCGTGGCGCAGCTTTTCCAGAGTCGATGCGAGCTCGACGGGTTTGCCGCGAGGAAGTGGGCCGAAAGCTCGAAAATGCGGCGAATCCCAAATGTTGATGGAAGACTTAAGCAACCCCTAGGAGCAACCCCTAGGAACAAGAAGCTACTAGGAGCAAAGGGCATCGCTACTCGGAGCAAGAAGCTACTAGGGGCTCCTGGCATCGCTACTAGGAACAAGGATGCTACTAGTAGCATAGCAACCCCCCTAGACCCTTGTAGACTGTAGACCCTCCCCTTGGTCGTGCACAAACCGGTTTTCCTGATGTCTTCCTTCAACAGTTCTGTACATCTTAAGAGGTCAGGTGTGCATGTTTCACAGCACCTCACATCGAGACATAGTGGCAAGGGCCAGCCAGCTGCAGCTGCCCTTCTATTTGGCAATCACCACACAGCAAGTTGGGCAAATAGCCACTGCAGCCCTTCCAGTGGTATTTCCTTTGTCCTCACGCAGCAGATCTGACGGATCTTCGATGGTACGTTTGGCATTGCAGTCTTGGCACGTCACGAAGATGTGCTCGGGTCTGCGATTTTGCAAGAGGATCTCTGACATGAAAGATATCCTCGGATCTGCTCCAGTGCAAAGATCAAAGCTTTGCAGGTCGCCTCCAAAAAGGTGCTTCAAGTCCCTCCCACCAACCCACAAAAGAGGAAATCATATTTGTCCCAATGTGTCCCACCGTTCTAAGATGTTCCTACAAGATCTGCTGTTGGAATTTCCCTGAAACACAGGAAACATGGCGCCACGGTGGCTTCGCACGCTGGACCGAAACACCTCGGACGTCCCGGCGACCTTTACCGACGACGACCTCCCTTCGGCCAAGGCGTCCGGCGAAGCTTGGGCCCCTCGACCTTGGTCCCTGCAAAGGTGGAGAAGATGGGTGTGCCCTCGGCCACTAAGGCACCGATCCGGTCCTGCAAACGTAAAGCCACAGCTGGGAGTTACAGGGGGGGTGCTTGGATGGGATCCGATGTGGTGTGCTTCGAAGAATGTTCCGTTGATGTCTGTTGGAAGATTTTTGGGGAGTGTAATTTCCGTGAGGGTGGATTTGCTGATCAAGTGATGTGATCGGCCAATGATGTTTGACCAAATGTCATGTTGCTTCGAACATCTTGTATGTTCCCCAATTGATGTTATCCAAGGCTTGTTCTTTGATCTTTCTGACTATATAATTACAGTAATATTAAATCAAACAAACGGGATAGTTGGTGGTCAAACACATTTGAGACCTGACCAGTCCAGAAGATGAGTGAAGATGAGTGTTTCGATACTACCCAGGAAGCCAAGGGAATTTGCCAAAAGCTTGAGAATTCACCGGACCCGGACTATGCCAAGTAGAGGAAAATGTGAAATCAACGAATCCTAAGCCAAAAATATACATAACTGAACCAGTGAATGAACATGACAAAACAAATACGAGATCAAGATTAACTTGGCGATCCAAAGATCTTCAAGTTCTGACAGCTTCTGTAGCAGCTTTTCGCCGGACTGGTCTTCTGTGTGGGATGGTCCATGCTCTGTTGGTGCGCTTCGAAATGTCTGCCCTTTGGAACCTCGAAGATTCGCCGTTTGGGGAGCCACTAGGGAAAGTACAGTGTTCCGTCTGCATTTCTTAGGCGTTTGCAGGACGAAGGCCTTGCTCTCAATGCTTCCTGGAGATTGAATTTAGATGAACTTTGGATTTCACTTCCAAACAGTGAAGTGCTTAATTAATCAGCTGATGCTTCTGGGCTTGTGACATACCTTTTCTTACTCATACCATACCCAAAAATGTTTTGAGGAAGGTAACAAGTCCATGGAAAAGTATGGAATGTCCATGTGTTTCCCCCTTTTTACCATGCAGGTGAAATCCTGGTCGTCCAAAGTCTGCATCAACATTCGCCCTGGCTCCTTGGCTGGCTCACCATGGTGTGTCCAGGGCAAATCCGCATAGGGATTCGTCGCGTCCACGTCCAAATCCTCCTCCGAGCGGACTGAGGTGACCTGAAGGGATTGCAGTCTTGGGGCGGTCATCGGGAGGATCTCGAAAAAGGCAAAACGGAAAATGCAAGCCCAAGCATTCTTGCTTCTAGTAGCTTCGTGCTACTACTAGTAAGGCACTTGTTCCTAGTAGCGTGGCACTTGTTTCTAACATGTTCAAAGCAAGTCGATGAAATTATATTCACCAACCTCACCTGAGGCACAAAGTGCTTGAGTGTCTTCCTGAGATTTGATCAGGGATCGGTATTTGAGCAACTTCCCCCCTGTGTTTGTTTTTTTCTTTTCAAACTCTGAAAGAAAACAATAATCACTTGAAAAGGATCCAAGTTCAAAAGCCCGAGTTTCAGGATGCTCTCTTGCAGGGTGACCGCGCTTTGTGGACACCCACGGCAGGCGCCCTGCAAATTGAGAACCACTTCGCCAGTCTCAGGGCTCCAGGATTTTAGCATCACGTCACCACCATCTTCCTGACGAACGCTGCGTGGACTGGTCTAGGAAATGCAATAAACACAAACCCGTGGAATTGAATTTTATAGTAACAAGAACCTAGTAGAAACAAGTGCATCGCTTCTAGGAACAAGTGCCTTACTAGTAGTAACAAGGTTCGCTAGTAGTAACAAGTGCCACGCTACTAGGAACAGGTGCCTTACTACTAGTAACAAGAAGCTAGTAGTAACCCACCAGGGGTAGGCCGCGATAGTAGTAGCTAGAGGTAGCTAGTAGCTTAAGTAGCTACTACCGACAGGACGCAGGATAGCTCGTGCTAATGATTTGGTTCCTAGATGTTAGGGAAACTTAAGGTGTGCCGTACTTGAGTCACCTGCAATTCGACGAAGGAAGGAGTATGCCAAGGGGGTCATGTTTGACTTTGTCATTGGGGCGGGCACAGCAAACTGTTGGAAAAACGAAAGACTGTTCTATTTTTTGTTGTAGTGGTAGTTTGGTCACAGTGACATATAGCTCATAACGGACTAACCCCAAACAATCCATGGGCATTTGGAAATTGACGATAGTGACCCCGACGGCGGGGTTGTCGTCGCTTCTCTTTTCGCTGAGGTGCTTGAACCGAAGGTCGGATTCGATGCTCGAGGACTTCCAGAATCTCCTGCAATCCCAAGCGACTCCGATTGGACCAGGGTGAAACCCCCGAACGGCAAAGTGGTGGATTCTGCTTTGTTCGCAGGCTTCTTGCGTTTCTTGGATGGTACAGGGTTTTAAAGATGCTGTAGATTATCAGAAAAGTGCAAGGATGCACAATCCATGCACCGGTGGGATTGGAGGTCAAATAGAAGAGAGAAAGAGCGAGAGAGAGAGAGAGCAACTCAAGGGTCAGCTTATGTAACAGGACACGATATTGAGTTCAGAAGGGTTGGTTGGGGCGTCATGGTTCAACATGGTTCAAGTAAATAACGACCAACGATATGTCACAAGCCTTCACCTGAACATGGTGTTGAGGAGTCACTTGGGGACGTCCACGGAGACTTTGGGGCTTTCGTTTTTAGAGCAGTCTTAAAGGCAGTCGAGTCACTCGAGCATCAAGATTGTCACTTCATGAAAAATCTAGTCAAGCAAACTACAACATGTCCATGCTGTGAACCTCAACGAATCGATCAAGTGAAAATGACGGATTACCAACACTCAACATGAATATCCGGATGATCTCCTCGGCCCCTTCCAGGCCCTCAGTAGTTCCCTCCACTTCCAGGCCCTCTGCCAGCTTTGAGTCGTTCTCTGGGAGCTCTTGAAGAAAGTCTCGCACCATCGGCGCCAGGCTTTGCCACTCGGTCCCCGGCTGTCGGGTCACGGCAAACCACGTGCCGGTGGCCCCCTCGTTGGCAAATACGTCGTGAACACCTGAGCAGGGGCTGACAGGTTCGAGCACAGGATCACCGGTTTTCACCAGTTACCAGCTGTGATAGCTTGTTTGATTATAAGGGTTCCATCAAGAATCAACCATGCCTCCAGGTACAAATCGTGAAGACATGACAAGACATGCATGTATATTTGATCTAAAAACACCACTGAACTCATAACTGATTCAACTTAAGATCTGTGCATATCTGTGCCTAAGAGTCTTTCCAGGAAGCTGGAAGAGAGGCCGGCCAAATCATGAAGCGCCGAGTCTCGACAGTCTGACTGACTTTTTCATGCACCGGTCATCCTTGCTTGGCATATATAATATATACGGTGTACATACAAGCCAAGCTCGTTCTTAGCGAGTGTGCTCCCACACTGCTGAGAAACGGGCACGACTTGTCCCCCACCTGGAAGCTCCAACAGCTTTTGCCGAGTGCCTTCAGGGACACGGACATCGCTCTGGAACTTCCACACCTGGGCACTGATGGGCCACCTGCCCAGTGGGTCTACAGTATCTCAGGGATAGGGCCACCAAACACTTTATCTGAACCGAGGACATCCAAACAAACAGCCCCAAAAAGACCTACCGGAGGGTCAATGGGTCTTGGCAAGACTAGAAGATTGTCCCGCTCATCATAATACAATTTATCGCTGTCTTGTTGTTGTTGTTGTTGCTGTTGCTGCTGTTGTTGTTGTGGTGGTGGTGGTGGTTGCGGTTGCGGTTGCGGTTGCGGTTGCGGTTGTGGTTGTGGTTCTGTTTGTGGTTGTGGTTGTGGTTGTGGTTGTGGTTGTGGTTGTTGTTGTTGTTGTTGTTGTTGTTGTTGTTGTTGTTGTGGCTGTGGCTGTGGCTGTGGCTGTGGCTGTGGCTGTGGCTGTGGCTGTGGTTGTTGTTGTTGTTGTTGTTGTTGTTGTTGTTGTTGTTGTTGTTGTTGTTGTTGTTGTTGTTGTTGTTGTTGTTGTTTTGTCTTAGCATTATATTTATACGATTGTCTTTTCAAAAGCTCGTGTTCTGTATAGGTCCCTGGTTTAATTGGAAGATAAATGACGTATCCTGAAAAGACCACCTCGCACCTGGCTATAACGCGATCGGTAAGGAGTCCGGAATACCAGGGACATACATGAACACTGACATAGACAACGACTCATGCACTGTGTCACCGCTCACCGAACCGAAGAAATCGTAGCCACGAGGTGTGGATGTGGAATAACCACCTCATGCCCCCAATGACATCACTCCAAGGGTCATCCTCTCTATGGTCTGCCCCCCATGGTACTGAAGCATTGAACTTTGGGTACAGCCCTCAAACAGACACGGAGCTTCCACAGGCAAGCAAATGGGGTCTTTAAGTCCTGAAGATCCGCACACCTCAAAAGCCCAACGGAAACGAAGTTCCACCTAAAGCTATCTGATAGCAGCCATTTAAATCTAAGATAAATTAAGCGCGTTGATTTTTTTTGTTTCCACCGTGTGGGTCTGGTCCAGTCGAATCCCACGAATTGCATGTCTCTTCAGTCCTAGTAACAGAGGGATTTGGCGTTTCCTGAAAGGCCCAATGTCCTTTTCGCCGATGAAGTGTGCGAGCAATGCCCGCACGCCAGCGAGGCCAAGCGATGTGGACCCGTTGCATTGCGACACTCGATGCAATGTGATTATGATGGGGCAATACGGTATAGTTGGCTGTTGGTGAGTGATGACCTCGTCTTCTCACTGGCTCAACAGCAACATGTGGTCAGCTCTTGAGAGACTAAAGTTGAAAAACTCCAGTGGCCATCTACTACATGTGTTTCCTAGACTTGACTAGCTGCCTATATGCGTATCCACTTGTAGGAACGAGTGAATAGAAACCACCTACTCGTAGTGCCAAAATAACTGCTGGCGTTCTCATCGAGCAAACACTGTATGAGATCAAGAGTACAATACTGAGCACAGCATTCTGAGTCTCAATCCAAGACCTCTTGAACGAAGCTGCGTCAATCATGGCAACAAGAAACTGTATGCAAAGCTTCCCAGGGCATTCAGTGCACGCTCCTGGGTGTTCATGTTTTCTCGTTCGTGTACAAGAACATCGTCCACTGCGAATGCTCATATTTGCTTCACAACAAACGGCCACGAGCAAAAAAACAAGTTTGCAATAGTTTGTCTGACTTTGCCTGCAAAACATGCCCAGCACAAAATGTGAAAGTACCGAGTCCCCTCAACACATTCCGTGAAGAAAAGATGGACCGAGTCTCCTCGGATCTCCTCGGTGCCCTAGTGGATCCAAAAAGACTTTTCCACAGGAGGTACTTTGCACTCCTTCTCGTCCCCGTCCCGTTGAAAAGGAGATCCCCACCGTTGGGTCAGATTAGGGAGCTCGATCAAACCGCTACCTAGATCTAACATGATCTAACAAGCAAATTGCCCAGCAAACCTATATTACATAACTATAAATTGATTATTTATATATACTTATTATAACATAAAAGTACATAATACTACAATATAATACAATATATCTATGAGACAAACCGCTGTGGCGATCGGACTAAGCGCCCCAACCAACTTCTCCAGCACCGACCTGCCAGGTCGGTCGGAGTTCGGGCGTCGGCGTTTCTCACACGGTCCCTTCGGTGCCTTGAAAAGGGCTGGTCGAATTCATGAATGAGGTGTTACATGGTGTTACTACAGCTGCAATTGTAGGGTTTTTAAACACATAGTCCCGGGTGAAATTAAAGGCCTGCCGATTTTGAATTGGAGATTCTAACATCCTCTAACATCCAATCATGGATCATAGCTCATGAACACATCTACTGTACCTGCCACATGTCGGTCCAAACAAAAGCCGTTCGGCCTTCCGAGCAGCGGAACGTTGGCATGTCACCCCAAAACCTGTTTCTAATGGCGTCCTTGTTACTACTAGTAAGGCACTTGTTACTACTAGTAAGGCACCTGCTACTACTAGCGTCCTTGTTACTACTAGTAAGGCACTTGTTACTAGAAGCGATGCACAAGCTTTAGCAAGAAGTCAGCTGCTAGACAGACCCACCGCACAAAAGCCCCTACACTGGACCAAACATACACGTCAAACAATCAGTTGCTGCTCGAGCTGCTCGAGCAGCCGAGTGTATGTAATTAATCCAAAGACTCCAACCCTGGAAACAACAAGAAACACATTCACATGCAAATGTTAAAAACTCTTCAAAAACAATCACCCCGAGCCTGGCCCAGAAAGGACCATGGCTGCCAGTGGCTAAAAGAGACCTTGAGCGCACCGAATGAACCCTCGCAAAGTTAGAAGTCTGGATATCATATAGGGTGGGGTCTTTCCATCCTACATGCTGGGGCCATATTAATATAGATCATATAGCTTGTGTTCAGGAATCTACTTTCGATAAGGTTCGCAATCTGCAAGAAGTCCGACCGGGCCGGAAACATGTGGATCCCCCCACAGCAGGATTCATGGATACCCTCCCTTGTTGGATGGAGGGAATAAAACATCTGAGCAAGCAACCCGCAAATCTTATATATCTTCAAACCCTACGGTTTTCTGGACTCTCGCATTTCCCAAGAACACCTTCGACGAAGTACTGTTGCTGAGGATCAAGCGGAACTCTCGCGTGCAGAAGCGATTGCTTCCTTAGTCGGCAGCTCCTTTGGCTGCGGCAAATCCAACAACGTGTGTTGACTTTCCCTTTGTAAGCGCACCTCCAAACCCATGAAACCATGCTGAAACCTCTGAGACTTGATCGGATGCACGAAACTGCCCCCTCATGGCACACCAAGGGTCAGCAGCGGAAGCACTAGCAAATCAGGCTCATCCATTGGACGACCAATGGCCGGCCTGAGCTGTCACTCTGCAAACTCCAAATGGTTCAGAGCTACAATGCCGCCCTCGAGCGTTCACTCGACTGTCAGACAACCATGAACACAGGTGAAGAAAATGAAAGAGCTTTGAGCCCTTACACTTCCAGTAACATGTGTCCCGTCTAGTTGAGAAACATATATAACATTATAACATGAAAATGCACCACCAGTTGCCAAGCTTGGAAGGACTTGTGAAGGCAACCCAAAGACAACACCACCGCAACCCAATGACGCATGATGCTAAATGAACGTCTAAGACAAAACACATTCAAGCCGAGCCAAGCAGGTGGTGGATTAAATGGGTTTGCTGGACAGAACACAAAAAAGAAACAACATGAAGCAACCACCACCGTCCTGCACCAACAAAGACTAGAGACTATGCACTTCACGCCCCGCGTTGGATTCGGCGGATCCATCGCCCACCGTCGCCGAACACGTCGGGCATCGGTCCCAACCGCTGGGGCATCGGTCCCCACGAAGTTCAGCATCCCGATGGCCACTCGAGACCTCGCTGGATGAGGTGGACAACTCCGAAAGCACCGAAGAATTCGTTGGATGGTCTAAAGCTACTAGTAACAAGTGCCTTACTAGTAGGAACAAGAAGCTACTAGTAACAAGTGCCTTACTAGTAGTAACAAGTGCCTTACTAGTAG